GGGACAAACATCAAATTCTCGAATAAGTAATTAGAGTGCATGAAAAATTAAATGGAACTCACGGTATTGTTAACCGCCTCCCGGTTAGCTCAATGGATAGAGCGCTGGACTGTTGTGCGGGAGGTCGAGGGTTCGAGCCCCGGCCGGACCAACACTCAGGGTCTTAAAATAATTGAGAAGAATATGCTGCCTTTCTATAACATCAAGAAATGGTTAGATATTCTAGTCTTCTCGGATAGGGACGAATAAATGGAGGTCCCGTCTCCTGCAGGGTTAGGGGTGGGACACGTTAATTTCCCACGCACGAGATTACTGTGTGATGGATGTCCTCCCCTTGGGTGGGATGGGTGGTTAACAGGACCCCCGTTGATACCAGTGTTTACCACACCGAAGGGGCTATCTTGTATAAATATAGATGTCTATATGTCTTTTGTATTCCATTTTGATTAGATTCTTGACATTACATTAAAATTTTTATGAAGAATGAATATACATGTAGCATTCCAGATCACCTCCAATAGTGAAAAGGTCAAGAGTCTTTGGTGTTTTGATTGTTACTAGGAATGAGGCTTGATTCTCCTCTGCCCCCCTCCCCCCCAATAAGTTACAATGTATCCAAGATTTTAGAGACAGGATTATTTAAAATAATTTGAAGTTAAAATCAAAGTTTATTTTCTTTTGGATAGGTGCTCTTTTAATTGAGAGACCTGCTGATATTGAAGAAGGTGAAATATTCTTATTCAAATGAATAAAGGCTGATAGTTTTTAAAGAAACTGTTTGGGGCTGCGTCTGTGGGGGTAACAAAATAATTTGGATATATCAACAAAGTTGAAATGGTAAATTGGCCACCATAAAGATTACAAAAGCTGACGTTTCTATCTTTAGCCCTTCGGCAGAGCGATTGGGGTTACCATTCGCTCCGATGAAGGGCTAACGCTCGAAACGTCAGCTTTTGTAATCGTTACAGTGGCCAATTTACCATTTCAACTTTGTTGATATACCCAAATTATTCTTATTCAAAGTAACATCAATTATTGTAGTTTTTAAATTGTATTAGACTAATTCAAGACTTGCAATTTTTATTATAATAAAATTGTGATGTCATAACAGACAAGTTCATAACAAATTCTGGTTTTCATGGAATTTCAGGATTTCCACTTCAAGCACCACTAGTTTATCATTATGGTCACACATCACCAGGTCCCAATGAGAAGCTTTACAACAAGCTATCCAGCAAAATGGCTGAAGTCACAAAAGAGAGGTTTGACAAGAATAAGAAGGGTAGGTCTGCCTTATACATTTACATAATACAGTACATGTAGTTAACTCATATGTAAGTGTGTAAATTACTCCAGTGCAGATACAAGTAAGATAAAGTCTGTTTATGAACCAAGTGGCCCATTAGGCCAGTGCTTTACTCTGGTTTCCTTAGCATGAAATGACTGAGACTATTTCTACTCCCTCCTGGATGAGATGCAATCAATTGCAGGGTTACCTCCTGGCATTAAATTTGCCATACATGTTTAAACACCTGGGTGAAGAGAGCCACTGTGAGTCTAAAGTGTCTAACCTAAGAACACAGAATAATGCCTAAAAACACAACACAATGTCTCTGCCCACCTTCTCATGCAGATACATGTTCAGTAAATTCTTACATGTAGTCGTTTGGTTTCAATGAGAACCAGGCCTCCCTCTGAAGCAGACGATTTGGTGTTTCCTTTGCATTCAAGGGTACTGTGCATTATCATGCAATAAGTGAGATTTGGTCTTGAAATTTGACTCAATCTTATTCAGGCCTTGTACAACTTGTGATGTTACAACTGATTAAAAGGGTTTGTCTTGTTGCAGCTCGAGTCAGTGGATGTATTATCAACACCTGTGGCTGGGTGACAGGAACTGGTTATAGAATTGTGGTGCATGCTGCTGAAGCATTTGAAGGTTAACAGTCAACGTGTCTTCTAAAGTAATGTCTTTTAAGAACAATTTACAATGGAGTGTCAAAAGGAACCTGGGATCACTTTGGTTTTACTTAACTTGCCCTGTGATTGGTCCAGAAAACTTGTGCCATCCTCTTTTTGAATCAGATGCAAATTAAAAAAAAAATTCCAGATTTGGTCATTTGCATTTTCCTGGGCTTCAAGCAGTTTGCTTATTTTCACTTTGAGTTCTAATAGGCTAATGATAATGTAATCATTGTACTGATTGGTCCCTGTGATAACTTTGGTTTTGGTTTTTTGACACCAAGAAATTACACTGGTGAGGTGGTTCAAAGGTGTTGAATGATTGTAAGTTTGCAACCTCAGAAGTGCCGGTTGTGCTTTACCAAGTGATTGCCTGCCAAAATTCTAGCCAGTGATCACTGCTTTTTCATGCGGTAAATTTCACCAGTGCCCAGTGCTCAGCAACAACCCTGCAACACTCAATTGAAGACTGCTCTTAGAAATGTGGTATACCATGAACAGTTTTTCATCATGATACTGTAGGTTGTCATTGGTTGTCATTTTATTTATATTTGGATTTTACCTTTTCAGTGAATGTTATTGTTGTTCTTGACCAAGAGAGACTGTACAATGATCTAAAGAAACAGTTTGGCAGCAAGGTTCAGATTGTGCATCTTCCAAAATCTGGTGGGGTAAGTGACCTGTCTAATCTTAATAGAAATTATTTATAAATAAGTAATGACCTCCGTAATTCTTTAAAAAGTATGGTGCACTTTATGTAGCTTGGTTAAAGTGAATATAAAACCTTTTATTATCCAACTCTGCTTTGTAGAGTACAAATAACACGTGAGATGAGTACACATTTCATGCCATATTTGTACTCCAGAAATATCCACGAAATTTGCCTGCAATGAAATAACAATTTGGCGAGTTGGATAGTGTTGTATTTTGACTCGCCCTACATACTTGTCAAAATACAGCACAACTCATAAAAATACTCGGCGATACTACACAACAAACGTCTAATAAGATTTATAACATAACCAAAGTAAAGCACGCACTCTGATTGGTCAATTCAACGTCCACCATTTGCCTATGGGTGTATGCTGCTGATGAGAGCAGATGCAAAGACTAGTTTTTCATGTGCACTTGTTTTTCTGGTCATGTAAGATTTGTTAAATAAAAGAAAACTCTTTTGCTACCATGTATCAATGTTATATTATAATAAAACAAATGGTAAATGCTACAGCACAGTGTACACTATTGAGTTATGGTGCACTTGGGAGGTTTGCTAAGCACTCAAGAAGCCAGAGTCAGTCTTGGCTATCGCCTTGCGTGACTCTAGCACTTCTTTCATGCTTAGCAATCTCCTGTGTGCATCCATAACTCAATAGTGTACGCTGTGTTGTGTTTACCATTTGTTAAATATGTATTTTTATCTCATAGGTGGTGGTAAGAAGTCAAGAGACTAGAAGAGAAGGAAGGGATAACAGAGTTAGAGACTACTTTTATGGAATGAACTCCAGTTTTTATCCGCACATTTTTGAGGTCAAATTTGCTGACATAAAGATTTTTAAGATTGGGGGTAAGTTAATAGTGTTCAATGCAGTGTTTTCTTGAATTTCCTTTTTTTTGTTTTCATTTATGAGCAGTGAAAATGGAGCACTATGATACTGTTATCATTACGATTATGATATTTATTATATTCAACACTCCTTGACCCCTTAGAGTGACCAGTATGTAACTTCTGCTCGCAATGTCACCCCTGAATCACACGTGAAGGTGAGGAGAATAAAGGAAATGATCACCAACTTAAAGAAGCTCTAGATTGGTACACCATTTCTCCTCATACGTATTGTGGGAAATTTGCAAAGATCAGCATGGAGAATAAGCATGTTACTGATTTTAGCTATTTTTAAGGGTTAAAAGGATGTTTTTGTCCTTTTTAGTTTGTTTGTTTGTTTGTTTAATTTGCCTTTATTTCCTAAACATTTCAGCTCCTGCTGTTCCTGATTCATGTCTGCCACTTGGAATGGCTCCAGACCAGAATGAAACCAAACTGGTCCCAGTACAACCAGGTATGCCGGTACAATTATTGCAGATCATAAGGTCTACAGCCACTTAATGTAAATTTTTCATTCTAAAAGCACTAGGGTATTAACAAAACTATTTTATCAAATAAAGATTGTTCAAATTGCAGAGACCAAGTATGTGGGTGGGTTTACTAGACTGCAAGTGAAAGCAAGTCACATGTTCCAATGACTGTACTTGTAGGTATCAAACTGGAAATGACTTGGTGTCGTCACCATTTTAGAGGGCTGGGTTTTTACTGCAATTTTTTTTTTTAAGCGTACTTTTTGCCATGTCAGGTGTTCAATCCACCATGCTTGTTTGATCAACTTCATAGGATATATATAACAAGTTTGTCCTTTTTCTTATAATTCAGGGACTTCAGTTTTATAAAAACACTGTCCAGCTGCGCAGTTCTATATAATCACCCCTCAATTATTAGCCAGTTTGCCCCCAAATCTTTGATGGTTATGTTACTCAGGGAAATCAGTAAGGAGTGCACTAGCTACCATCTTCTAGCATGAGAATAAGGTCAAAGTAAAGACCTAAAAATTAATAATAAATTAATGTAGTTGTCTCAACTGTTGGAAACAAGCTCTGACTGACAACAAAGGACTGTAAAAAGTGGCTGATGCAAGTTCTTCTCACCCATATTTTTACAGGGCGTGATTTAAAGCACTGTGTTTTGGCATTGAGTGCTGCTGAGTCATTAGAAGAAGGTTTAGTTACAACAAACACAATAGGCTTTGTTGTTGTGTAAGTGCAAAGTTCTTCATAATTAAAACATTCCAGTACATGTGGATAAGCCAGGATTCTCAAGACCCATCATATTTTGTCATGGAAATTTAACCTGGATTGCTTTTCGCTGGAATTTGAACAATCCCACTGGGTGAATTTAGAGTTTGTTTCAATATTGTACAGCAACAATGCTAGTAACCAACTGAATTGTCCCTTTTAACCACATAACCGGCTGTCACTCCTACATGTTGGTTAAACCTACTTATTTCATTTCTAATGTACACTTTTGACTAAGTTATCTCTTACAAGATCCACCATATTTTCAAGAAGAGTACGACATTTTTTAATTTCGAAGACATGTTTCGATGTTACGAACATCATCATCAGTTACAGAATATTAGAAAAACTGTTAGGACTATATAACAACTAGGCGAAACATTCTGTAACTAATGATGATGTTTGTAACATCGAAACATGTCTTTGAAATTAAAAAATGTCGTACTCTTCTTGAAGATAATGATTTGCTTTCTGCTGTCTCAACCTTTTGGATCCACCATATTACAGTTGCTTATCCAATCAATACTTTCTTTCCACTTTACAGTAATGACGTTGATTTGGAACGTCAGATGATGGTGGAGCTGTCTCCAGCTCCAAGGCCTCTACCAAGAAAGTTCTTTCTGCTCAGTGATGTCAAGTTTATGGACTTCAAATAATTTCAAGAAGCACATGTTATTATATATTTTTTTATAATTGTCAGTGACATGAGACTTGTTCCTTCCATGTCCTATTCCAGTCTGGACTTCAGTTATTTAATTTGTTCATGCAAAAGCATAAGGCATGCCTGTACTTTGAACTCTCTGGCTTGTCTGTGGATTTGGACTACCCATACCAGTTTTGTTTTAGATCTTTCTTTCAGTTTGGAGCACATTAACACCCAAGATCTTCATGTATTGAGTACTGGCATTTTCTCCATATATGACAACCAGTAAAGGACGCTTAGCTTATTTAATATATGCATTGACAAAAATGAACAATGGAATCGAGAGTTTGTGCCATTCACACATAATTATGTGTACATATGTATCAAAGAGGAAAAAATCTTTCTTTCTTATTACAGAGATCAAAATTTATCATCTTTCTTAATCTACCGACTCACATGACTTGTTCATTAAAGATTGCTGATCGTTACTGCATGCTAAACACGAGTCACATACAAACAAAGACATAGCTAAGCTTCACCATAGAGTGTTCTGTAGCTCACTGCTAGAGCATTGAAGTGTGAAATCTAAAGTCTGAGCCTCAATTCCTGTTGGGAACTCAGTATTTTTTTTTGTCCCATGCATGCGACAAGATGATCTTTCTGTAAAAACACTTAGCTTTAAATATCTACACCTTTTACTGTATTTTCTTTACCAACCCAAGAACTTTACAATTTTCTTTTAGTAAATTTACCTTTTATTATGTATATTATCTTGATACATTTGAATGTAATCTACAAATGGCAAACATTAAACCATCATGGTACTTTTTAATGATAGTTTGTCTCAAGAGGATTTATAAATTTAAACTTTTTTAAATGTTTGCTTCTTACCCTTAGTCTAGACACTCCCTTTCACAAATTTAATACACTGTTCTGCTTAACCCACATGTTAAGAGAGTTAAGGGAATTACCAACAAGGGGAAATACCTAGTATATAAGTAATTCAATTTCATACACTGTTATGCTTAACCCCTATGTTAAGAGAGTTAAGGGAGTTACCTACAAGGGGAAAGACCTAGTAAACTGTATGTAGTTAATTCAATTTCATACACTGTTACGCTTAACCCCCATGTTAAGAGAGTTGAGGGAATTACCTACAAGGGGAAAGACCTAGTATATACCGGTAAGTAATTCAATTTCATACACTGTTACGCTTAACCCCCATGTTAAGAGAGTTAAGGGAATTACCTACAAGGGGAAAGACCTAGTATTAAGTAATTCTCCCTATATACAGCAAAACATTCTTTTGTAGATTAGCCTGGAGAATTTACCCTCTGCCTGATAACCTTGTCTATTCTTAAATACATAGTAATCTTCTCCATCACTGCTGCAAACGTGTTTGCTCCCTTTGGAAGAAGATTCACCCGTTGAAGGCTCGTTTCCAGACATGGCGGACCATATAAATACAAACAATGCGAAAGAAAAGACCCACGCTAGTGAGGTAAATACAACCAGTGATGTCAGGAATCGTTTTCATTCGTTCCCAGGGCCCGGACATGTTTTGCAGCCAAAATGCGGTTTTCAACACTAAAAAAGACAATTTTTCACTTTTTCTGGCGAAAACAAATTAGCCCACGATAATCAGCGTGTTTCAAACCACTAAATTATGAAAAAATCTCAGATATGAAAATTTCTTTTCAGTGGCACTTTAACCTGTTGGCAATATAACATGACTTGGACTCACAAGGAAAAGTTACTTGTTAATAACTTCAATCTAGAGATTGAGAGTTTGTTACCTCCTTGTTGATGTAAGCAAAGGCTGTAATGCCTCTAGTCAGGGCTATTGTCTGTTGCTTGTTTAGCAAGGAGTGGCAATTTCACCCTGAGACCCCTAAGATTGACTAGCATCTAATAATAATGGCTCTACAATATAAGTAAGTAAGTAACTTCATTTAACGAGGGTAACACATGACAGTGCCAATGAACTGATGACCCCAATGGTCCTCAAAATATTATTCCTGAACCACAAATTAAAGTCACAAGAGAAAAGGAAATGATCACCAACTTATAGGACTGAGGCTCTTCTTCCGATGCCATGAAGCTCACAAGTAATAAATGACAGTTCATGTGAATTTGTAACTTTCATTAGTTTTATACTTGCTGAGTTCATATCATTGTAACTAAACACGTTTGTTGTTTAGAATGCTTAATAAAGACTTTTATTATTATTATCAAGTAACACAGGCCAAACTTACACAACTTAGTACCTTGTTGGTTGTATTGAACATTTTGGACTGAAAAATAATAAGTTGCACAACAAGCTAAGAGAGTCAATTAGAACAAGGATAATTTAATTTTTTCAACAAGTGTAATATGCACTTGAGTCTCCACAATACTACTGATATAACTAATAATATTTTCTCTTGCCACCCTAAGGTGAGAGTCTTTCATAAACCCATCCATCTGCTCCTTTCTTTGTTAAATTTTCATCAAGAATTTCATTGGCTTCTTGTTTGCGGAACACAATTCTGTCATGGAGTCTACTGGATTGTCCTTGCCAGAATTCAACTTTGTCTGGGATTACTTTAAAGCCACCCCTGAAATATATATACAACAACTCTGTGAGGCATTATTTGTCTGTGTAATTTATCAAACAAGACTAGTATTGCTTAGAAAGAAAGTAGACCATGTTTGAAACACAATGCCATGCTCCTTTCGTGAAATATTACTTTTTTTCCGCCCCCCCAATCATAAAATTCACACCTTCAAGTTGCCATATTATACCCTGTGCTGTTTTGGATGCTCAAATTTCAGGCTCACAGAACCAGTACATGAACATTTTCTGCTATTGATACAAATGCTTCAAACCAAAACAACAAACAAAACAAAGTTTAGTCAGAGAAGATTTAAATTGAGTGTTAATTAACCCTTTCACTCCCAGGAGTGTCAGTGATTAACATGAAACTTCTCCCTATTATATCTATACATTCTCCAACAAACAGGTAATGAGAGTTCTGACACTTGTCAAGTAGAAATTGTTATTCTGATCTCACATCAAATTCTCATAACAAATGAACAAGGAAATGTGTGGCAGCAAGAGGGGAGAATTAGCAATCTGATCTTAGGTACTAAAGGTTAATGACACTCCATGTAGATATGCTTCACTGTGAAGTTGCTACTTACCAATGATCTGGTTTGGGAATCAGTTTTTGTTCATCTGCATATTCCTCTTTGAGTTTGTTGTCTTTTACTTCCAAAACCTTTAAATCATGAACATCACAGAAGTGCTAAATCACAGAACTGCTATAACATGTTACGTTAATATATTAATGGAGTCTGCCTAGTGCATGCTGCAAACCATGACAGCAGGAAATTAATAGAATAGGTAACATGTATTAAATGTGTGTCAAATTTCTTTCAGTGCAAAACTTTGCTGCTTTGTGCACTAACTGCATCCTTGGTGCTATGAATATACAACCTACTCTTCAGGAGGTTTGAGCCCCAGCCACATTGACAACAGCTCAATAAACTTCATTTGAAAAATACAAACCTTTCTGTTTGCAATAACTGAGCTCTGATTGCTGACAATGGCTCCTATTTGACTTGAGCGAGGACGAGAATGAAAGTACACCTCACTCTCTTTCTGTGAGAGTTTTTCCACTCTTCCTTCTACTCTCACCTAGAGAAACATTTATAAAGGAGATGGTTACAAATTTCACATCAAATTTGATACCCGTCCAATTTGCTCAAACCATAAAGAATGACACTTCCTAGTCCTCACAAAGGGAAGCAACCAAAGATGGATCAAAAGGGAGCCACCTCCTTGAATTCTTTCTGAAGGATGGCAGGGGGTTTCTACAAGATGCATGATTACGACCAAAATTAATACTTGGTGCGTGAACTTTACGGAAAGGCCAGTGTGATGGAAATTTGTGATTTGCCTCCTGATATAGATGTGATCTGTGAATTTTTCTTTCAGTACATGATTACCTCAAAATTTCCCACAAACCTTGCAGAAAAGATTTGAAGTTCTCCCTTTCAGATGTGAATTTTTCTGATTGTGTGTGAAAGACAATCAGGACCCCTCCTTTGCCGGCTACCCTCTTTATTGATATTTACAGCTTCACCTCTTTAGCAATTCAGCTTTAAAGGCATTTTTTGAACCACAATATTTTGTTATGAAGAAAAAATACAAAAAAAAAAGAAGAGAGATTTGAAGTTCTCCCTCTCATGTAAGTGATGTGTGAATTTTTCTGATATTTGTGCACAAAAGGCAATCAGGACCCCTCCTGGCTTAGCTACCCACTTTGTGGAAATTTACAGCTTCACCTCTTTAGCAATTCAGCTTTGGAGGCATTGAGAGCTATGAGGTTACTTATGTAAATCTTACCCACAATATTTTGTTGATGGAGAAAAAAGATACAAACTACAAAAAGTAATGAGCAGATGCAAAATATAGCAGTTTACATGTCTTTTTTGAAGTTGAGTAAATAAAAGCAAAACATGCATCAAAAAAGCTTGCAGTTTTACCTGTCGGTGCAAAGGGTCCCAGTAGAATAACAATGAAGCATAAGGATTTTCTTTCTGAAAGACGAACAGAAGTTAGACATGGTATTCATGTTCATATCTACATTTTGTTACCTTCTAAATAAATGCCATCCTCTTATTGGTTTTAACTTAGCAGTTAAGATGAGCCTATGAACCTCCCTTGGGTAGGCTGCTGTATTCATACCAAGAATCTACCTTACAGCTTGACTTCTTTGAGATACTGGCATTTCAACCTTAACACTTAACTCCATGTTAGGATATCAGTCATAACTTGTACACCTACTTCAAAATAGTTTCCCTGTTGCCAAGCATCTGATCTATGGTAGATCACAGATGACACCAGAACGTAGGACAGTCGAACCTTGATTATCTGGACTTGTTAGGACTAGACCAAATAGTCCGGATAATCAAGAATGTGAATGTTAATGAGGAACAAAAACTGATTTCATAAAGAAAGTGTAATTCAATCATGAAACAAAACATTTACAAATCATTTTGAAAAAAATATTGTCTACATCTTCACTGTCCATTGTGATCATACCTCTACACATGATTGTGTATCTGTCAATGTAAAATGCAGACTGCAGACTGGGGGTAATATGCAGACTGACGGTAAAACGTAGACTGCGGACTGCAGACCAGGGGTAAAATGCAGACTGCAGACCAGGGTCAAAATGCAGACAGGGTAAAATAAAATATCAATAGCAAAAAACAGGACTTGGGAGTGTTCCGACCCATATCTCTAATTTATTTTTCAAAACCCCGAAAACTCAAACCAAAAGGCGTTTATTTGCCTTAGTCAAACATATTATCAACCTCGAGTTCTTGAACTCCCCATTTTGTTGAACCAAGTTTCCCAAAAGTGCCCAAACTGATTGTAATGCTATGCATTTTACCTTTGTTTACATGTTGGCCATTTTGAATTGTGCTTTCGCAAATAGGTTTGGGACTGAGTAACTCTTTCAGCATTCAAATTCTCCATATGGCCTTGGAATTGTTTGGAAGACAAGGCAAGCAAAACACGACAGCACACCAACAAGGCAAGGTAAACTTGTAGGTATTGAGCATAGTTTGTGAAAGAAATTAACCCAAATTATCGAAAATTACCATAAGATCGTTGTCCTCGTTTTCCGACATTTTATAGTGCCATGTGACTTGGGGATGATGTGACTTTTATACTGCGTGAAGCAGCCTTTGTGTGTTTCGTGAGTCCTGGCGTGACATTATTTTATGGGTACGAACACTCTTTATTTCATCATTAAGACTTGTTTTTTTGTTATTAATATTTTACCTTCCGTCTACATTTTACCCCTGGTCTGCAGTCTGCATTTTACCCTCAGTCTGCATCTTACCCTCAGTCTGTATTTTACCCCCACTCTGCAGTCTGCAGTCTGCGTTTTACACTGACCGATTGTGTATTAACGTTTGAAATTAAGGAAAAACGTTTTTACATTGGCCTAAAATGTTGAACTCATTTGGCCTTAAAGAAGAACATTGCCTTTACTTCCATTTTCAATGCTGTAGCTTTAAGTAGAATATGGCTACCGATCTTGATCATGACTACTAAATATTCATGACAAAATTGGGACTGGAGAAAAAGTCTGGATAATTGAAAAATCTGGATAATCGAGGTCTGGATAATCAATGTTCAACTGTACAGCTATGTGTCATTAATGATCTTATTACATTTTAGGATCCCCAGTCATCTATTACTAAACAAAAGCACCTCAACACAAAATTTATTTCATTCATATCTTAAAGAAGTAACATTTTGTCAAATAATGGTGATGTCATTCAAGCATCGGTCCTCTGATGGATCATAAGTAAGAACCAATCAAATGCAAGCATAAGTTTCAGTAGTGACATATTCAAGTGCAAATTGGTGTTAAAGAACAAGAGTAAATTTGTAGTCTTTGAAAAGTTTACATGTGCTTAGCTTATTTACACCAAATTACACATTTCAAGAAATCATGCTGTTACTTATTACTAATTTGCATGAAAAACGCATCACAGAAAGCCAAGACAAACAAAATTTTGAGAGCACTTGCACCCTATTTGTAATTTGCATTTGTGCAACAACTTTGCTCCCATGTTATCTGAAAAATGCACTTGCTTTTAGCCAATCAGAAAATGTAACTTTTTTCAAACATATTTAACAACTATTCACTGAAGTGGAGGTGGTTAGTGGTGGAAATATTTACCGAGCCGCGAAACAGGAGATAAATATATCCACCGCTCACCACCGACCCTGAGATGAATAGTTGTTTTAGTATATACTAAAACAGTGAGATAATATCCACCACCATCATTAATTTGAGCAATTTCTTCGCTTGTCACGGATGCAAACTGGGGCACCATTTTTTCCTGAGTTGCTCGGAGGTAAATAGCTAAGGATATTCGAAGTTTGACTAGCCAATCAGAGAGCACCTTCAATGCTATCCACTGTTTTAGTATATAGTAATCTCACTTATCGTATTATTAAAATAAAAGTGCATTACAGTACCCTGCATCAATGCAGCGTCCCTTGAGTTACACCCTCTTCCCACCCTCCCCTTCCCCCCTTCACCAGCAATTGTAAACAAGAAAGCATCCAGAACAGTCAGCATAGATTGTACGTTTCTAATTTTGAAAAAAAAAAACCCTGCCACTCATTTACATGTCTTGAATAAGAATAGCCTCTATTGTGTTATCTTTGTTCTTCACAATAGAGGGTATTCTTATTCAATGACATGTAAATGAGTAGCAGGGTATTCTGCAGTTTCTCCAATGGAAAAAAAAAAAACACAGCAACACTTGTACTTCCAGTAATATTAATGTTCATTGTAAACATTACGTAAGCATGATTACATAATACAGTAAGCTCACCAGTTGCCCTGCCTTTGAACTGTTATAATTAGTGAAAAAAGTGAATCCTGTGTCATCATAGCCTTTTAATAACACCACTCTTGCTGTGGGGCGACAGTCTCTGCGACGGAAGAAACAAAAGTCTGAGAAACAAATTCTATAGGTGAAACCATTAAGAATTAAATATGGCCTACTCCACAACAATGACGTTATGTCTGGCGAGACAGTGCGTTGAAATTATTTGAGAAAAGTGGGAAAAAATCAGCAAAAACCTTCCGCATGTGGATAAAATCATTGCATTCGCTTCTCCAATATCAGGACTTTTCGAGGCTTCTCTGAACCACGCATCGAACTGCATAAAAGGTTCCTTGGCTACGAGATGAGATTCGTCGAACCCTTCAGGCATTTCATAGTTTCTTCTCATGGAAGCAACATCCTCTTTACGCAGCATAGCTGCTAACACACCAAAACTTCTGCTAATTTCAGTGATCCTTGCAACAGCTGAGGTTGTTCTCCAAATTCTGAGCGAAAATGAAGTCATCTATCAGTTCTAAGACTGTCACGCTACAACTGACTGAAGGAAGATTAGCCGCGCAGAGATCTGGGAACTAATAGAAAAGCTACTAGTCTTCTGCACGGTAAAGGCCTGGAGAAGAAGTTTCACGATTCACATTGCATCAAAAAGGTGCCCCTTAACGGTTTTAGAACCGTTAATTTCGCTCATCAAACCTCGTATATGGCACCTGCAGGCACATGAACAGTAGCCATAATTGTGTCTTCTAAAGAATGCAATGATTGCCTTTAAATGCATCAATGGCTTAGCACCACAGCACCTATGCTTCAGTAAAAGAAAGGATAAACACGATCACGCAACAAGGAATAACGAAGATCTTCACATTAATAAATATCGAACGGCAAGTAGCCAACGTATATTCTTATATAGGGAAACTAAGATTTGGAACTCTCTAGACACTTCTTTAAGATCTATTGTAAATATCACTACTTTTATAAAGAAGCTCAAGTCTATCTTGATGCAGAAATTTATTAATGAATGATAAAATTGAAATTTGAAGTTGAAAGTTGATTGAAAAGTGATCGTTTTTAGATATATATATATATATTTGCGAACTTTTCAGTTTTTGTAAATTGGCATGGAAAAGTCATTTATTGGAATGTCAATAAAGTTTGTTTTGTATTGTATTCCATCAAAACGCCACAAGGGGGTTGATAATCAATGATTACACGGCAAGGATAGCAACTTGGAAATTCCTTGCAAGGAAGAATAGTTGAGAAACATTTATCAAAACTGACACATTAAGCATAATCAAATTTATATTTTTAAAAGACTAACAGGACTTTTTTTCCCTAATGATCATTAAAAGACACGTTTAGCAATTCAGGACCAGCTTTAAAAGTTTTTAGGAGACAGAAGGAAGCCAGACTTGCCTCTGTATGCACCTCTATGTGGCGCATATCATCCATCATCATCCACCATCCATCCATATCATGCATATCATCCATCATCATCTATCTATCATCTCGCATATCAGCATCCATCATCATGCATCATCCATCATCCATCCATATCATTCATATCATCCATCCATATCATCCATATCGTCCATCCATATCATCCATCCATATTGTCCATCCATGTCGTCCATCCATATTGTCCATCCATATCATCCATATCGTCCATCCATATCATCCATATCGTCCATCCATATCATCCATCCATATCGTCCATCCATATCATCCATCCATATCGTCCATCCATATCATCCATATCGTCCATCCATATCGTCCATCCATATCATCCATCCATATCATCCATCATCATCTATCCATGATCTCGCATATCATCCATCATCAACTATCCATCATCCATCCATATCGTCCATTCATATCATCCATATCATCCATCCATATCATCCATCATCATCTATCCATCATCTCGCATATCATCCATCATCTATCCATCATCCATCCATATCATCCATATCGTTCATCCATATCATTCATCATCATCTATCCATCATCTCGCATATCATCTATCATCATCCATCGTCCATCCATATCATCCATCCATATCATCCATATCGTTCATCCATATCATCCATAATCATCTATCCATCATCTCGCATATTATCCATATCATCTATCATCATCCATCATCCATCCATATCATCCATATCATTCATCCATATCATCCATAATCATCTATCCATCATCTCGCATATCATCCATCATCAACCATCCATCATCTTCGCTCCAACGAGGGGCTAACGCTCGAAACGTCAACTTTTGTAATCGTTACAGTGGCCAATTTACCATTTCAACTTTGTTGATATATCCAAATTATCCATCCTCTCTATCACCCCAAAACAGCTGGTTTTAAAACTGTACTAAAGATCAGAACTGATTAGATTTACATGGAGGAAAATGATGAATGTATACCAGCGTATTACCGCAAATTTAACTTTTGATAACTTCGTATGTTTTAATTCCATTCTTCAAGTCTTTTTTTTTCTCTTCCAGCTAAATGATTCTCGAAAAACCAAGCGGGGAAGTTTTGTTTAAATTGATTGCTCTTTATATCTAATTCGAATTTGGATTTACTACTCTTGATCAGTTTGCAAAGGCAAGTAGTTGGAATTATTGGTTTTTGTCGACATAAAACTGTTTCTGTTTTCCATGGCTTCTTCTTCTTCTTCAATTACGATTATGAGATGACAGGGGGGTTGCATCCACTTGTTGCAGTTTTTCAAAAATAAAAACCCGGTGAAATTGTCGTCAGTGAAAATAATAAAAATATCAACAAGAAAAATAAATGCATTGAATTGCAATAGCAGTGGTATCAAGAAACATACTTGGATTACAAGGTATAGGAATTATTCTTCAACTCTTAACTACTGCTCGTAGCTCAAGTGGCAGGCTTTGAAAAACAACAGAATACGCCCACTGTATTCTGTTTTTAGCAAACGAGGAACATTTGGCAGATATAAAATCGACGAACTGCAGTCAATATAGTTACCAGGCCAACTTTTAATTACTACTTTCAACAAAAGGATTTTGCTCTACCAATGAAAAAGATAATTAAAAGCTTGAGTTGCCTATATAATTAAGTGCACTAGATTTTCTGTCAAAGAGAAGACTAGGTCAATTTTCACTGACTAGCCATGTGTATACAAAGCGAACTGCACCTGAAGGGTTATTAAATAGCTGATCGTTAATTTTCAACGGGTGTATGCACCCATTTTCACAAACTGCAATTAGAAAATATATATTACAGAAATATCCCTTTTCATTTTTCATTAAAGAGCTGAAGCACGATGCTTGTATAATTCGTATCAAAGGAACGATGCTTTTTTGTTATTTTGACTGCAGCTATTGACTGTACTTTTCCTTGGCGAAAAATTGTCCATATTCTGTCAACACCTCTTTAATAAAAAAAAGAAAGTGTGCATATATTTCCGATTTATTTTTAACTTGAAACGTGTTTGAAAACTTGTGCATATATATATATATATATATATATATATGAATATCTCTCAATCTCTCTGTCTCTCTCTCTCTGTCCCTATGTAACTAATTATGCTTTACACATGTAATTACCTTAAAACAACGTTTTAGATCCATCCAATTTCCACTAAGCTCTGCCGTTGACTCACTATTCCACCTTTAAACTGTGATTATGATCTGTTATAAAGGGAGCCCATCATGTAAAAGCCTGGTTTCTCATGGGTGTTTTCCACTTGTAACTTGATAATTAGATTTAGTGGCAAAACGAAACGATAAATATACTATAAAAAATGCTTTTAGATTCTGGGTAGGCGATCCTTAGTAACGTAAGAAAGGTTATTTTAATCTGATTCTTCCTGATCATATGGATCTGTTTTCTCAGCTGGGCAAGTATCTGCTTGCATTCTAAATTTTAGCCAGATGAAAATGTCGTATCGATACAGCTAAAATTTCACTTAAGCTTTTAGGTCACAAACAAGGGTCTCCGTGAAGTTTTCTTTGATAGCTACTAACTCAGTCAAAGGCCTGCCGCGTTCAACTTCAAATCGTTTAGAAGTTTTAAGAGGTAGTGTTCTTCTTAAAGTTTCTCGAAACATGGGAAATCTAAAACTGTAAATGATAGGATTTACCAAAGAATTGCCTAAATGAAAAATATAAAAACTGTAGAGAATGGTAAGAGGATAACATCTGAGACACTGATGAAAAATGAAATGGGCCACAATACTTAAACCCCAACAGACAAGAGAGGCACCTATCACAATAAACAAAGTCCTAGAGAGTTTCTTGTTTTGTTCCAGCGAGTTGTCCCTGCTAGCAACTGTCATCAATCTATTGGAACGGAGTTTAGCTCGTATTGGTGTATAGCAGGCACAGATTACAATCAGCGATAAAGCCGCAGTAGACCATACTACAACCATCCAGTGGTTAGGCTCCAAGATCTTGAAGGACATTACTAAAAACGTCCCTGCCTGAAGAGCTATTGCAGCGGCCCAAACAAAGATGACACTGTAAGTGTAGCCTCTGATACTTGCTGTTCGATGTCGTAGCGGCCAAATCAGAGCATAGGCACGTTCTAGGGAGATGAGCACGAGGAAGAACATCGATGCATAAGGCAAACTTATTTGGTGAACCGTTAATAGGGATTTTTTGAAATTATCCTCACTAGGAGCACTGTTGTTTTGGAAAGAATCTGGAATGTAAAACCCTCCAGTTGTTATCATTTGACTGAGTCCAACGAGAAGATCTGCCACAGCAAGGTTTATAAGAATAAACGAGGTTCGCTTCAATTTGTTACGGTTTTTCCAAAACACAAATATGGTCAAAGAGTTGCCCGAGAAAATAATAAGAGATTCAATGAGAATAATGCAGTGAATTACCACAAAAGTTATCGCAGTCATACTTGAAGTGTAAAGAAATCGAAAAAATTGCCAACTTTTTTTGTAACAGCCTGTCACTTGTAGGGCAGGCTTTTATATAAGAAGGAAGACGCCCACGATGTGATGTAGTTAACGAAAAAAATAAAATAAAATAAACGAACATAAGTATACAATTAATACTTACCTAGAGAAAATGTTAATAACATAAGATCTTGAACAAAAGAATCTCACTGCTAGAAAAAGATAATTAATAACTTCAGTTCCCAAAATTAATAATGTAGTAAAAGATTTTCCTTTTGGAGAAAAGATAAGGTGCCTTTAGATCGATTACTTATTTGTAAATAACACAGCGTGCACTAAGGTGGGAAGGAGAGAAGGTAATAAGCAATATTATGACCTTTCCTTGCTAGAAAGAACTGATAATTACATTATAAACGCCAAAATTAGCACGTGGATCGAGCAAATGCGAAGCAATTCTTTTAAAAGACAGAAAAGTAGTTCGTTTATCATTCCGAGTTGAAATAAATATTCAGCACGGAAGCATATTTATTGTAGTTGAAAAAAACGTGAGAGGGAGTGTAAACAAACATCTTTCAAAAAGCCCCAACCAATGTTTACTTAATAAGGAAAATTTTAATTAATAACTTGGAATTCAAGAAACAGATCTCACATTGCTCAATGAAAAAGGTAATTAAAAACTTGAGTTCCCAAAAT